TCTGTTTTAGTTATATTTTTTCTCCACTCCTTTCTCCTCCCTCCTTTTTTCATCTATTGTTCAAAATCTATACCACCGGTGTTTCTGTTCCCATCGTCCCTACCCTCATCTTCGGCTCTATGAGGCGCTTGAAATCATACATGCCTTGCCAACGAACCTCTTATTGTTTTCCATCTCCCATTCAGTCTCCCAATCCCATGTTTGTTATATAATTTGACATTATTTTCAGGGTCATGTGCCCTCGCCGGCGCTTCCCGTCTTTGGAGCATGGAATTTTCAAGCTTCGAAGAACCCGGAAGAGGCGGCGGCAGCGGCGGCGGCGGCGTCCGCAGCCGCGCGCTTGCGCTGCGCGCCGAGCGCGCAGACGTATGACCCCGAGAGGGACGGGGGAGTCGGAAGCGGCGGCGCGGGCTTCACCGCGATGTTTGCGAATAAGGGGAAGGAGAGGCGCGCAATGCGGATCGTGGATGGGAGGATCATGGAAGTTCCCAGTGGGGGTCAGCAGGTATGGAGAGGGGGGGTCGGGGATGGAGAGGCGGGATGGGGATGGAGAGGGATTCACCGCCATGTTTGCAAATAAGGGGAAGGCGAGGCGAGCTATGCGAATTGTGGATGGGAGGATTATGGAGGTTCCCCGTGGGGGTCAGCAGGTATGGAGAGGGGGGGAAGGGGATGGAGAGGCGGGATGGGGATGGAGAGGGATTCACCGCCATGTTTGCAAATAAGGGGAAGGAGAGGCGAGCTATGCGAATTGTGGATGGGAGGATTATGGAGGTTCCCCGTGGGGGTCAGCAGGTATGGAGAGGGGGGGAAGGGGATGGAGAAAGGGGAGTTGATGGAGATGTGAGGAAGGGGATGAAGAGGGGGATGGTGAATGGGGATGGAGAGAGGGCTTGGGAATGGGGATGGGATGGAGAGGGGTGATGGGGGATGTCAGAGGCATGGCGGCATGCATTTACTGGCGTGGTTGCAAACAAGGGGATGGACGGAAGAGCTACAAAGATTCCCAGCAGGTGCCAGACGATATGGAGAGGGGTATCAAGTATGGCGAGAGAGTCTAGGGCTGGAGAGGAGAGGGGTAAATGGGGAAGGTGAATGGAGAAGGTGAATGGGGAAGGTGGAAAGGGGTCAGGGATAGGAAGGGGTATCGGGGGATGGGGGGATTCTGAGGGTGGCCAGAAAGCGATCACAAATATGAAGAGAGGGAACATGAATGAGGCACAGGAGCCTAACCAGGCATATGCACTACCCACTCCCTCCTCCGTTCCACTTGATACCCACTCCCTCTATCTACTCGAAACCCTAATCTTCGCTCATGCCTGTCCTGCTTCTCCCATCTGCCTATCTGCTCGAAACCCCTCTCATTTTCACATGTGCCTTTCCCGCTTCTCCTCTCTGCCCACCTGCGTTGCAGGCAAACGTCACCATTTCCTCCTCCGCATCCTCCGAGTCTCGAACACCCAACCGTATCCCTTACATACCACCCGACCATCCTCTCTACCACCTCTACCACTCCCCACTCTCCGGCTCTCCGGACCGCCCCCGCGAGCCTAGCTCCCAGCCTCGGCAATCGTACCTGCCAGGACTGGCGCTTGAGCCAATCGCGTCCAACTCCCCTGTGCAGTCTATCAGCTCCTCCTCTTCCTCCGCGTTTGCACTGAATGCTGAAGACAGCTCCTGGGATCAACCTTCAGCCCTAGCAGGATCGGCAGCAGCAACAACACAAACAGCGCAGACAGCAGCAGCAGCGGCACCGGCAGCAACTCCAGCAGCAGCAGAAGCGCTGTCTCTAGCAACCTCTGAGGCGCCTCAGCAGCCGTCAGCCCCCCCACCGTCTCTTGCTGAGCTGCAGTCGCTTAGGCTGAGGCTGGCGGCCGAGGAGAATCTGTCCCCTCTGGAGATGCAGCGGTTAACTGACGGTGTTCTTGCACTCATGTCCGCTGCTCCCTCAGCTGCCGCCGCTGTTCCTGCTACTGCTGCTGCTGTTCCTGCTCCTGCTCCTGCCGTTACTGCAGGTGCTGCTTTTTCTCCCGCGCAAAAGCCAGCTTCGGCAAACGAGCCTGCGGGCTATGCCCAAGCCAGTCCCCCAGCCTGTCACTTAGGCTCGTGTGCCTCATCTGATTCTTCCCCAGAGTCTTCCCCTCCCCGTCGGCCCCTTCGTTACTACTCCCCAGTTCACCCCTCCACACACCGCCATGACTCTGCTGCTAACCCTTCCTTGCTTTTTGAGGCTCCAGCTTGGGCTCGGGATGCCCCATCGTCTGAAGCTGCGGTCAGGTCCGGTGAAGGTTCGGATGGCCTCGGGGACGCTGTAACTGCACCTCGGAACACTGCAGCAGCACAACTCGATCCTTCAGCATCGGTTCCCGAACCTGGTTTCCAGCCTTGCACTGCTCAGCAGTACCAAGCAGCCTCGGCAACCCCCATTCCTCATTATCCCATCCCGAACCTCCAAGATAAGCACACTCCGGTCGGCAGCCCTATCGACAGACACATGGCCGCTCTCTCCTCTACCGCCACCTCCTCCCCTTCTTTCTCCTCTCCTGCCCCCCCTCCTCCGCCTCTGCCCTACGCCCTCCCTCCTTCCTCCTACAACCATCCCTCGCATGGCCATTCTGACCAAGGCCCTTCACCCATGGCTCTGCTGCCATTAGAACCTGAAGAGGATGATGGGGGTTTCACCTGGGAGGGTTGGTCGGTTACTGGCGGGCCAATCAGGGAGCAGAATGGCTCAGCGTGCACTGCTGCTGGTGTGGCTGGTGTTGCCAGTGGTGCTGGTGTTGCAGGTGTTGCCAGTGCTGCCAGTGATGCTGGTGCTGCTGACTTGGGTTATGGCAGTTCAGGACCTCCACTCGATTTTACCTTTGGCCTTGACGACACTGGCAGCACTGCTTGCACTGCCATAAGCAGTGTCCCTTCTGCTGCTGCTCCTGAAGCTATGTCTACTTCATCTGATAGCAATTCTTCTGGTGTTTCGGGTGCTACAGCTGCTGGTGCTGGCGCTGCTGCTGCTGGTGCTGCTGTTGGTTCTGCTCCTGTTGCTGCTGTACCCAGTACAGGCTCACCTGCTATCAGATCAGCGCCTAGGATTCCCTACCAGCTGCCTTACAGCGACTGGGACAACAGTGCGCAGCACTCCAAGGTTCGATTTCAAGGGGGGATCGCGCACGAGGCTGAAGGTGCGGGTTACACTAAGATGTTCCAGGACAGACAGGCAAGGAAGAAGATGCAGGGAGAGGGTTTAGGGTTCGGGAACCTTGGAATGCCCGTGAGAGATCAATTCGGGAATACTGGTGCGGAGCAAACTGAGTGGAATGCGGGTGTTGCTGCTGCTCTGGCTGGGATTAGTCCTCCTCCTCCTCCTCCTCCTCCTCTGCCTCCTCATGCTGGTGATTATGCTGCTGCTGGTACAGGCACTGGTGTTGGTGCGGGTGCTGCTGTTGCTCTTCCTCCTCCCCCGTATCTTGCCAACCCTGCTGCTGCTGCAGGAGGGCATGGGGGGCCACTTGTGACCTATTCTGCGAATCCGGGCATGTACATTCCGCAGCCCAACGCCATGTTGGGATTGAATGGGGCTCCGCACGGCACGCATGCAGCTGATGCTCACGGGACAGAACATGGAAGAGTTGGAATGCGACATAAGGTGGGTCTCGACAGTAACTTGTGCTTGGTTGTGTTGTGTTAGAGCGCGAGCTTGTCTTTGAGTTGTTCTTTTGGGAAGGATTCCTGCTGACTGACATTCCCCTTGTTTGACTGCCATGTGTGTGCAGCTTGGAGGTTTCTTTGGGTTTGGAAAGAAATAGAATGTCTGTGCTACGGTTTGTATGCCATAGGTTGCTGTTGAAATTGAACCTGTCTTGCAAGTATCTCAAGATGGCATTGTTCAAATATGAAACTGATATGCTAGCACTAATGCAAGTTGATTAAAGTTTATTTCATGGAATTGTAGTCATCGTTGGATTTTGTTGGGCTCTGACACCGTGTTTAGCGGGCAGGGCAGTCACGTCCTGTCCCTCCCATGGGCTTCCGCCGATTGGCGGCCTGCTCTCCCCGTACTGACACGGGTTCGGCCGCGCTGCGACGAGTCATTAGCCAAGCTTCTTGTTTGGGTCAGCCAACAGGTTCGGCTTTGTTGGTCTGGGTTGACGGATAGCCGTGGGATGACTTTTACCCTCGTTTTTAGCATCTTTTACGCTCTCATTTGGCTCACCAAACCATTTCATATTTCTGGACTTCGTCAAGCGATCAACGCAACCCGTCGAAGCCAATCAGAACGGCCGAAACGAACAATTCGGGCCGCGAAGATGAAGGTCACATCTCGCTTCTGTCACTGGCACCATCGCTCGTAGCACACTGGTCTGAAGCCCCTCACTCTGGCCCCGTTGCGCAGCCGCGAATGCCTTGATTTGCGGCTCCGCGCCCAGCATTTCCATGCTCTTTCCGCATTCCGCGCAGAGCTGGTTGCTCCCTTCCGCCGGCTTCGCTCCGCTGACTGGTGTGACGTATCAGCGTCACCCCATCAGCCAGTCACTCAATTTCCCTGGTTCCGCTATCTTCACACACACTGAAACTTCCGCCAGCCCTTCCCCGCGCGTGCCCAACCCACGCGCCCCGCCAGAACAGACCCTGGGGAATGGATTTCCTTGAACTTGTCTTTCTTTGGGAACTTCACAACCAGATCCAACAGTGAAGAAACCGAACCATCTAGGGACTGACTCATGAATCCGTCTGATTTCGTCATTTGTTCCCTAGAGTTAAACCTCTTTTCCTAGACGTTCCTAATCCGGATCTAGTCCCGTGCTGAGTCATCCATCTTATGCGTATATTATTTCAGTGTCCTTAGTTCTGTCCACGTCAGACTGCCTTTGTCAGCTCAAATCTGGATACATTTAGCTGTTGCGTCTAACTTTATTAGTCTTACCGATCAGGTAGTTACTGGCCTTGACAAGAAATAGCTTGAGGAAAAAGAAGCTGAGTGGCTGGATAACCACTAATCGAACATGAGGTTCTCCGCGCATCGCGGTAGCTGCACGCTCTTCGCAGCTCTCGCGATAGCCGCATGTCTATTGGCCACCGGCGTGCCGTCAGCTGAAGCGTACGATCCGCTAGATCCAACGGGCAACATCACGATCGTGTGGGATGTAACGAGCTGGGCGGGCGACGGTTACATCGCGTGGGTGAAAATGTACAACTACCAGCACTACCGCAAGATTGATCCACCTGGCTGGGCGCTGACGTGGAATTGGACGCACGGCGAATACATATGGGACTTGACGGTAAGCAGTGCAGCGAAGTCTCAAATTACATCGCGTGGGTTAATATGTGAGCAGCAGCAGCGGCGACGTGCTCAGCAGCAGCAACAGCGACCCTTTTGTTTGAGGCGATTTTTGCGAGGCCTTTTATGACTCAATCATGTAATGGGTTCGACGACGAGCAGCAGCAACGGCGCGCGGTCGGTAGTAGCGTGGTTCAAGTGGTTTCTACTCGCGTTATCGGTTACCTTTGTGCTGGAGTGTCGGTCCGAGAAGTGTGGGCGTAACAGCCGCGCGTTATATTCCTTTTCGCACTGTCTTGCCCTCTCCTATCCCCGCTCCCTTCTCTCCCCCCTCTCCCTCCTCCCTTCTCTCCATTGGCTTATTCCTCCTTTCCCTCTCTCCCTTGCCTCCTTGGCTCACTCCTCTTCCTTACCCCCTACGCTCACTTGTCACTTGAGAATTTTCTAGTAACTCACTCCTCCCTTTCACCTTCCCCGCTCGTGCGCTGCAGGGAGCCGTGGCGACGAAGCAAGGCGACTGCTCCAAGCTGCAGTTTCCCGGCGGCAAGATCCCGCACAGGTGCGTCGCTGATTCTTTATCAAAGTAATGTTAATAATAATAATTGTTTTTTAGTCGCCTCGTTGCCGGTGGACCTGATGCGGGCTCAAAGGCGGTGATGGATTTGATGCCGGCGGACCTCCTCGATCTCTTCCTTCTCTCCGCTTATCCGCTCCCCCGCCCCCACCACCCCCTCCTCAACCCCACCGTCGGCCCTGGATGCAGTTCCCGGTGGTGATGGATCTCATGCCCGCGGACCCTCTCAATCCCTTCCCCCTCCCCCGTTATCCGCTCCCCCGCCCCCCCGCCCTCTCCGCACAGCTGCATGCAGTACCCGGTGGTGATGGATCTCATGCCCGCGGACCCCTTAAAGCCGGAAGCGCCGGGAGTGCTGAAGAACTGTTGCAAGGCAGGCTACCTCGGCGCCAACAAGACCGACCCCGGGCACTCGCTCGCCGCATTCATGGTAAGCGGCTCTCCCGGCAGCATTGTTGCTGGTGACTAGGTACACGTAGCTCCGTCTGACGGTATCCTTGCGCGTGTTGAAGAACTGCTGCAAGGCGGGCTACCTCGGCGCCAACAAGACCGACGGGCACTCGCTCGCCGCATTCATGGTGAGCCTCGCTCCAGGTGGCGATATTGGTTGCATGCCCAGCTTGAGCCGCGGTGCTGATGTCTCCCTATCCCCCACCCCCCACCCAACCCCCCTCTCCTACCCTCCCCCCGACCTCGCAGTTCTGCGTCGTCATCGACCTTCACACTCGCTTGCGACCGTCCTTAGCTCCACCCGCTCGGCTCTCAGTGTGCTGACTCACGCGCTCGCTGCCATTCTCTGTCCAATTCTCTTTCCGCGCCCCAAATCACATCCTCCCCAAAACCCACTCCCTGCTCTCCCTCCCTTCCCCCAAACCCCTTCTCCTACTCCCCTTATTTTCTTCGAATCCTTTGACGTTTCCCTCCCGTCCTGCAGATCAATGTTGGGAATGCCACGAGCACGGTGTGGAACTTCGTCCCTCCCGGCAATTTCAGCCTGGGCGTTGACGGATACAAGTGCACAGACCCCTTCCAAGTCAACTCTACCATCTATACCGACCCTACCACGCGCCGGGAGACCCAGGCGCAAGTGACCTTCCACATAGTCTGCACCTACAGCTCGATTCAGAAACGGGATCCGCCGAAATGCTGCGTGTCCTTATCCTCGTTTTACAGCGACACGATAATACCGTGCGCGAGCTGCGCGTGCGCGTGCGGGAACTACTCGTCGAGCTCGATTGTGTGTGTGCCGACGGGCGGCAAAGTGCCGTATCTGATGTCAACGCCGAGTGGGGATGGCCTGGAGCTCAAGACTGATAAAACGGCTGTTGAGTGCAGCCCGGATGGATGCCCCATCAGCATTCACTACCACTTCAAGGTGAGGCGCGGGGGAGAGAGTGAAAGAGGGAGAGGGGGAGAGGGGGAAACAGGGAGTAGGGGGTGTGTGAGCGTGCGCGTGCGGGAACTACTCGTCGAGCTCGATTGTGTGCGTGCCAACCTGGGGCAAGGTGCCGTATCTGATGTCGACGCCCAGTGGGGATGGGCTGGAGCTGAAGACTGATAAAACGGCCGTTGAGTGCAGTCCGATGGGTGCCCCATCAGCATTCACTACCACTTCAAGGTGAGGCGCGAGAGGAAAGGGGGAGAACGGTAGAGAGGTAGAGACTATGAGAAGGAGAGATGGAGAGGAAAGGGGGAGACTGGTAGAGAGGTAGAGACTATGAGAAGGAGAGATGGAGAGGAAAGGGCAAGTGGAGGGTAGGTTCAAGGTGACGGGAAGGGGGAGAGATGAGAAATGGAGAGAAAAGAGTTATCAAGTGGTGGGTATGTGGGTGAGTGTGAGTGAGTTCGGACGGGTGCCCCATCAGCATTCACTATTTCAACTTCGATTGTGCCTGTCCCCTTGCGTGCCTTGTCCCTTGTACTCTCTTTTGTCGCATGCAGCAAAATTACGAAGGTTTTTGGAGGTCCAAAATCACGATCATCAATAGGAGCCTGTGGGACAACCACACCAACTGGAATGTCGTTGTGGAGGTATGTGGATAGTGGAGATGGGTGGAATGGGGGGTGGTTTTGACCTGTCGTGGTTGCCCATGTTGCTGTGTTGAACATTAATTGTCTCCCCTTTGACCTGTCTCTTTGTGTCTGTTTCCCTTCGTTGATCCCCCTGGCTGTTTTACAACACATCTCTTGTCCCTCTCTACCACCCACAGGACCCGAACATGGGCAATCTAACGGACGTGTTCAGTTGGAAGGTGGAGACCATTCTGCCCTATGGAGTGAACAACACGGCCATCTCCTTGTTGCTGAACACCATTCCCTCTTGTCTGTGTTTGTCCCCCACACACAGCATCCGAACATGGGCAACCTGACAGACGTGTTCAGTTGGAAGGCAGAGAACATTCTGCCCTATGGAGTGAACAACACGGCCATCTTCTGGGGCATGAAGCAGTACAACGATGTGCTCATGCCAGCTGGCAAGGGCGGCAATGTGCAGTCGGAAATGCTCTTTGCCAAGACGTCAGAGTTCACGCTTGAAGACGGATGGGTCTTCCCTAGGGTGAGTTCTGGGGAGGCATGTTTATTATGTTGGGATTCAAGAAACCTCCTTTTTACCTTATGAGGGTGGAGAGAGGAGAGGGTTGAGGGGGCTCGAGTTGGGTTTGCAGTTGATCTATCTAATGTGTTTGTTGGTTGGCCATTGCAGAAAATTGTATTTAATGGCGAGGAGTGTGTGATGCCGGAGGACATTCCAGCATTGCCTGTGAAGCCTGCGCAAAGACAATCCGCATTGTTGGCTGCCATCTTCGCTGGAGCTGCTGGTTTGCTAGCCTTACTCATGCTTGCATGAGCTTAGTTTTTATTTGTTGCAGATAGGTGGTGGTTAGCCGCTTGAAGCTTCTTTGGTCAAACTCCAAAGGTGAAAATAGAAAGCGGTTGTAGTGGTGAAGAGCAAATATGTAGGTGCGCATCACTTGCCTGTTCAATTGCTAGTGAATTTTCCTAAAGGAAGACTTCCCGGAATTAGAGGAGTATCGCAAATAGTGGCAATCTATCCTGGAACGAATTGAATGTGAGCCACACACGTTTGGTACAGTATTTGATGACATTTCCAGTTGCTTCTGTCCGGCAGCAGGAAATTTCGGGGTCAGCTCAGCTCTTGCCTCCTTCCTGACCGACAGTTTTTTTTTAGCATAGAGCGCTCCCCAGCCTTGCTGGAGGTTATCAGTTGCTAAGGAAATGACTTGTTTCTTACGTACGCCTTTGGGCTGCTGGTTTGTGTAGACCGTATTTTCAGCTTGTTGTAGATGGTTACGACCTTAATATAACCTTAGGGCGTGTAAAATCGGCAGACACAAATATTCGGCCACAAAGCCGACTGGCCGAATTGGCGAAAGTAACACATTCACGAAATTAATGAGCTCCGTTGCGAAAGTCGCAAATTTCGCGAATGTCATGCGAATTTGATGGCCGTAAAAGTGGTCGACTCGGCTTTCAACATCGAGTCGACTCGAAATCAGCCACGTTCCCGCCCCGTCGTTGCGACGTTGACAGCAGGTGTCGCAAGACTCCGCATGCGACGCCAAACAGAAACCACGTTCACGTCACCACCGCCCGTCGAGGATTCGCCATTTCGTCTTGAGCCGACCGTTGACTTGCTCAACGATCATGCGTGCTCGCGACTGTTGCTTGTTCCACACCGCTTGTGCATCTGGTAGGAGTTGTCCCGGGGTAGCGCGATAGGGAACGTAGGTGTATTCTTTTAAACCGTAGGGCCTCGTACATATGTTCCGGCGCTAGGTGTAGGAACCGATCCATCCAGCGTGCGCGCTGGATTTGACGGTCACGACGCCAGAACATTTGGTACTCTGAGTCGTCAGCGATGTCCAGCAGCAGGGGGAAGAGTAACGTCAAGGTGGTGATCCATGGCACAAGGGCTGCCTGTAACAGCCCCGTAGCTAACAGACGGGTTGCACGCTGAGTGAAAGTGGTGGCCATTGAGGGGCTGAATGAAGTGCCAGGGAGTGGTTACTTTTAATAGTGGAGTCAGTGCTGTGGCTCTTGGCTAAATGTGCGTTGCTGACCCCTGTGTGAACGGAGCCGCGGTAGCAATGTTCAGGCCGTGGTCGAGCTTGGAGTGGCGTTCCAATATCGGGTGCACATGTGCGACTCCGTCGCACAATTCGGCCATTTGAAAGTTTACAACTTCCTGGAGTCGGCCAGCAATTCGCTCTGGAAAGTTGTAAAATTTGCAGACTTGCAAATACTGGCCGGTTATTGGCCGACTCTGATTCGGCCATCTGGTCGACATGTGCGAAAGAAGTGTCGACCATTTGGACGACAAAATCCCAGCCAAACCCAATTTTTCAAAATGCTCGCCGATTTTACACGCCCTTAACCTTCCTGACCGACAGGGGCGGCAACTGCAGCACACGAATGGCCATTGGTTGAAGCTGTTGTCACGACGAACTGAGGATGTTTGCGAACTCTTTGTAACATCCACTTGTTCTCACCATTGTCGAAGCATTCAACTCTCAGCTATCGATGACTGGAGAAAATGCACCTGCTCATTGTCCAGCGTCAACCACACTAAAACACACTGTAGCGCACTGCATTGCAGAACATCCTGTGTAACCCATCTTGAAGTCCAAGTTCTTGGCATTGGATTCTGAGGGGAGCTGCTGATTGCTCTCTGGTAGCTCTGATGAAATCGAGTTTCCGATTCTACACTCGTGATCGCCAGTGTATAACAAGTGGGGTGGGGATCCAGTGACTGCTTTTGCTGTATCAATGGAGCTGAGCCACGTCAGGCTTTAATTACACGCTGAATCCTGCGATCACGGCTTTACCTTGACAACTGACGATTCAGCTGACATTCAGTTGACAGGCAAATATCACACAGGAACTTGACCTCTGCTCGACGGCGAATCCTTCAAAAGCTCGACGGAGCCGGCTGCGTGATTGTTCGTCCTGAGTCCTCTGCGTGTCTATTTCGTCCTGCGTCCTCTGCGTGTCTATTTCGTCCTGCGTCCGCTGCGTGTCTAGTGCGTTCTGCGTCCGATGGATCCGGAGCTTCTTCCACGTGTCCTGCTGCCAGAGGAAGAGGAGCAGCAGGATCGACGGAGCTACAGACACAGCTTTTATGGTCCGTACTTAGAAAGCACTCATTGATGCCGTTCCGTCGTCGATTTTAGAGTCGCCCGCGAGCAGCGCACATAGCCTTTATGGTCTCTCCCGTGCCACTTCCCTTCTCATCTCATCACATTTGGTTCTACTTCATTTTGTTTTCCTTTTTTTTCTGCTCTTTCAAATTTTGAAGGGCTGTTCTTTGACGTTACTAAGTGCATCCCAGCCAGACTGGCTATTCCTTGATATTGCCGAATCTTTAGTCTTCAGCGTTCTGACATTGCTAGCTCTAGCCTTTTGCACCCTGACCAGTCTGGAGCTGCGTCTTCAGAAAGGATATTATCTTAAAGCTGGCTGGCTTTCATGTTTTCAAAACTTTCTAAAGCTGGCTGGCTTTCATGTTTATAAAACTTTTTTTTAGGTCTCTGAAACCTGACCGAAGTGAATTTCTTTCTTGTCCTTTTCCTTTCTCATGCTTCAGGATTGCTCTTGACACTGCTTGCTCTGGGTCTCTGCTCCCTGACCGGAGTCGCGCTCCAGAGCGGTTGGTCTCCCGGCTCGCTCCGCCTCGTGGACGAAATCCTGACCGAGTCCAAGCCTCTCTGGCAGGCTCGGTTACTGTCCAGCTGGCAGGCTGGGGTGGAAGGTTCGGCAGTGGAAGGTCCGGCAGCAGCAGCAGCAGAAGCAGGATCGGCAACAGAAGCAGAACCTGCAAAATCAGCAGCAGCAGCTGCAGTGGTGGAGGCAGATCACGCAGCAGTAGCTTCAGAGGACCCCCGATGTTCCGAGATCGGAAAGAAGATTCTGAAATCCGGCGGGAACGCAGTGGATGCAGGCATCGCTACAGTGCTGTGCATGGGCGTGGTGAACCCCATGGCGAGCGGCATTGGCGGCGGTGCATTCATTCTCATCCGCGCCCCCAACGGGTCTGCTGAGTTCATTGACTGCCGTGAGACTGCTCCTGCTGCTGCTCACCAGGTACAGGGGCTTTTTTTTCCTCGTATTTAGGATGGTTTGGGTACTTGGGCTGGTTGGGTTCATAGGGATGATTGGGATGGTTGGGGCAGTAGGGATGATTCGGGTGATTGGAGTGACCAGCATCTCTACAGTGCTGTGCATGGGCGTGATGAACCCCATGGCGAGCGGCATTGGCGGCGATGCGTTCATTCTCATCCACTCCCCCAACGGCTCTGCTGAGTTCAGTAACAGCAGAGAGACTGCTCCTGCTGCTGCTCATCAGGTGATTGGGGAGTGACCTTCGAGTTAGGGGTACTTGGGGGTGCTTTGGGGTACGTGTGGGTTCTTGGGGTGGCTCACCAGGTACAAGGGCTTTTCTGGGATGCTTCAGGTGCTTGGGTTGATTGGGATGATTAGGATGATTGGGGTGACCGAATATGCAGGTTACATGCGGAAGGGTCCCTATTCTCCCTCACCCCTTTTCTCTCAACCCTTCTCTTCTCCACCCTCTTGCATCCCCAGGGCATGTTAGAGGGTCATGAGGGGAACATCAGGAAGGGATGCCTTTCAGTGGGAGTTCTGCGAAGCGTCAAGACACTAGTTCTGTTCTCCCTCTCCTCGCCGCCCTCCTCCCCCCCCTTCTTCCCTCCACCATTTTCTTCACGCAGGACATGTTTAAGGGTCACGAGGAGGACAGGAAGGGAGGCCTTCAAGCAGGAGTTGTGAGACGCCTCAAAACCCTCTTTCTGTTCTCCCCCTCCTCCCCCCCCCCCTTCTTCCCTCCACCATTTTCTTGACCCAGGACATGTTTGAGGGTCACGAGGAGGACATCAGAAAGGGAGGCCTACTTCTAAATGCAACCTTCTCCTCCTCACTCCATTGCCATTGCCATCCTCCTCTCCTCTTCTCCCCCCACCTTCGCTCCTTCCCCTTCATTCGTCCCGCCAGGACATGTTTGAGGGTCACGAGGAGGACATTCGGAATGGGGGCCTTTCAGTGGGAGTACCTGGGGAGATTGCAGGGCTTTACCTGGCGTGGCAGCGGTACAGCAGGCTGACGTGGCGCGATCTCGTGACGCCAGCCGCTGACATGGCAGAGAGTGGCTTCCATGTGGCAGCTTACTTGGCAAACTCCATTGCCACCTACAACGCCACCATCCTCTCAGACCCTGGATTAAGCACTGTTTTCGCCCCAGGAGGGAAGCTTCTGAAAAAGGGAGACACGTGCTACCGCCCCGCCCTAGCAGCCACTCTTAAAGCCATAGCAGAAAAGGGTCCAGATGTTTTCTATAGAGGCGAGCGGGCGAGAGCCCTAGTTAAGGAGATTCAGGCAATGGGAGGGATACTGACCGAACAGGACTTGGAAAGTTTCCAGGCGCAAGTGAGGGAGGTGCTTCTGGGGAAGGCGTTTGGGCTGGACTTTCTGATGGCCCCTCCACCATCGTCAGGGGGAGCAGTGATTTTACATGTGCTGAAGATTCTCCAGGGGTATGAGCTGCCCTTGGCGTCAGCGGGAGTGTTGGGATTGCATCGGGTGGTGGAGAGCTTGAAGCATGCGTTTGCGCTGCGCATGCACCTGGGGGATCCCACCTTCGTCAACGTGACAGACGTTATTCAAGGTATGATCGCTATTGTCTGGCCTGGGGGAGAGGTCATATTGCAGGTCCTGAAGATGACTTTTGAGTCATCAGAAAATCCCGGAGGACTCAAAACTCATCGTCAGGGGGAGCGGTGATTCCGCAGGTGTTGAAGACGCTCCAGGGGTATGATCTGCCCCTGGCGTGAGCAGGAGTGTTGGGGTACGAGACGAGCTTCCCTTGGCGCTACGGAAGCTCGTACCCCAGCACTAGGTGCGCTCTCCAGGGGTATGATCTGCCTCTGGCGTCAGCCGGAGTGTTGGGATTGCATCGGGTGGTGGAGAGCTTAAAGCATGTGTTTGCGCTGCACATGCACCTGGGGGATCCCGCCTTTGTCGACGTTACTGACGTTATCCGGGGTACTGTTAGTATCTGTTAGTTTCACGGTTCACCATGCCCCTATTGAGATGTCTCACCAAGTCAGTTTCACCGTTCTCATTCTGTATCCGCTTGATTAATTTCCACTTTTCCTTCCTTCTCGTCCCATTCCCTGCGTCCAGACATGCTCTCGGACGAGTTTGCCGCCCGGCTCCGATCCTCCATCCACGACAACATCACCTTCCCGCCCGAACACTACGGCCACCCCGAGGACGAGTCAGAAGAGGACAAAAAACGCCACCCGCACCGCCACCAACTATACGCCCAGCTAGACGACCACGGCACATCACACACATGTGTGGTGGATCAGGATAGAATGGCTGTTTCCATCACATCTACAGTAAACGGCCCCTGGGGAGCGGGCAGGATGGCGGTCCAATCAGGAATCGTTCTCAACAATGAAATGGCAGATTTTTCGCTGCCCGACCGGCCGGGCAGGATCCCGATGCCGTTTGAGCCGCCGCCTGCCCCGGCTAATTTTATCCGGGCAGGAAAGAGACCGTTGTCGTCGATGGCTCCTGCTATTGTGCTACAAGACGGGCAGCTGAAAGCTGTGGTTGGTGGAGCTGGAGGAACAGTGATTATTTCGGCTGTTCTGCAAGTGATCCTGCACTTCTTTTGCCAGGGTTATTCACCCTTCAAAGCCATCGATGCCCCTCGCATCCACCACCAGGTGAGTTGGCCATGACATGCTAAAACTCCTGCATGCATCACATGGGCATGCACATGGACATGGACGTGGACATGCACGTGGACATGCACGTGGACATGCACGTGGACATGCACGTGGACATGCACGTGGACATGCACGTGGACATGCACGTGGACATGCACGTGGACATGCACGTGGACATGCACGTGGACATGCACGTGGACATGCACGTGGACATGCACGTGGACATGCACGTGGACATGGACCTGGACATGCACATTCTGTTTTTTCTCATGCACATGCACGTGCACGTTCACATCCACACGCACATTCTGTTTGCCTTGATTATCTCCCCTCCAGCTGCCCACCTCGTTCGTCTACTCAGCCGACGAGAAGGGCTCATAAGTGCTTCCCATGCCCCTCATCCCCCTCCCCCTCCCCCTTCCCCTCCCCCTCCTCGTCCCCCTCCCCCTCCCACATGCCCTACCTCTCTTCCCTGCCCCACCAGCTGCTACCAAGAACATTGATCTACAAGGCGAATGATGACCAGATTATTTCACATGCCACATATGTTTTCGTTGCCTCATGCCCCCCCTGCTTCCCCACCAGCTGCTGCCCAACACATTGTTAACGATGCGGGTCTCGCTCTCAACCATGGCGAGCGCATCTCAGTGCCCAACCTGTGAATCAGCTCATAGATGCTTCCCATGCCCCACATGCCCCCTCCTCCCCTGACCCCCCCACCCCCGGACCCCCTCTCCCCCTCCCTTCCCCCCACCAGCTATTGCCCAACACGCTCTTCTACGAGGCGGGTCATGCTCTTATCGATGGAGAGCACATCTCAGTCCCAAACGCAACCCTCGCTGCCCTGGCTCGCCGCAACCATTGCCGCCTTGACCCTTGTGCTTTACATCCCCTCCTCTCCACCTATTGCCCAACACACTCTTCTACGAGGCGGGTCATGCTCTCGACGACGGCGAGCGCATCTCAGTGCCCAACGCAACCCTCGCCGCCTTAACCCTTGTGCCCCACGTTCCCCCGATGCTCCCGTGCAGTTGCTCCCCAACACGGTGTTCTACGAGGCGGGCCACGCTCTCGACGATGGAGAGCGCATCTCTGTGCCCAACGCAACCCTCGCTGCTCTGGTCCGCCGCAACCACTCCACGTTCCCCATTGCCTTTGGCGGCTTCGTTCAGTTTATCGTGCAAGACCTGGACGGCCCTGCCACTGCTGCACTGAAAGATCTGGACGGCCCTGCTGGTGCTGCTCTGCAGAAGCTTGATGGTCGTGCCAGTGCCAGTGCCAGTGCCAGTGCCAGTGCCAGTGCCAGTGCCAGTGCCAGTGCCGGGCAAAAGCGAGACTCTGCTGCAGCAGTGCCTTCTCGTGGGCCAGGCAGGAAACTCATTGGAGCCCAGGAAGCAGCAAAGCTTGTGACGACTGAGCCGAACTTTCCGCCTCCGCTTTTTGGGCGGCTCACTGCAGTGAGCGACCCGCGCAAGGATGGTGGTCCTGCTGGGTACTGACGGATGAGGACAAGATGAATCATGAAACCCTGTGACGTAATTTGTCGCCTCTTTTAGTTATTGCCTGTTGGGTGGCTCCCTGCAGTGACCGACCCGCGCAAGGATGGTGGTCACGCTGGGTATTGAGTATGGCAAGCTAAGATTCTGTGGGAAGTATTGAAGCACCTCTATAATTGTCTGTTGGGCGGCTCACTGGAGTGAGCAACCCGCGTAAGGACGGTGGTATTGCAGGGTACTTAGTGCTGACTGGTGGGGAAAAGTTGAAACCCTGTGGGACTGTCTCCATTGTTGCATGCTGGGCGGCTCACCACATTGAGTGACCCACACAAATGTGGAAGCCCTGTTGGATTGTGGGGATTACTGAATACTTGAGAATGAAGTATCGAGTGGGTGATTAGTTAATGGATCAGAAATAGGGGTGTACTCAAGCCTTTATAAATTATACAATAGAAGACTTCGTGTACAGCTCAAGGCAAGATCAAGAACCGCATCCAGAAATGTTATAACAATCGCCAAATTTAATCCAAGCCATTTCCTTCAGTAACCCAAGGAGTCCCGCAAGCCCATAACAGCATCCACCGCATCAGCCGCAAACTTGCGTGCAAAGAGAAAGCAAGGGGCAAGCTCACCAGCCACCCTACAAGGCCCAGGAGAGGACACCTCCTGCAGGCTCACCGCCTCTGAAACAGGAAAATGCCTCCTCTGCATCCTCTCTATAAGCTCCCTCTTTGTACTGCTGCGTGAATACATGGTCGGATGCTCGGAATTGTAAGATGGCCAGTCCACGTGTGTGACGGAGTGAGGCTCTATGCTGCCCCGATCATACCCCCAGACAACAGTCTGAATGTAGCTTTCATCGGGGTATTCCCCCCTACCCCTGCCGAAAACCACGTAATACTTCATGTTTTCGGCCACTAAGTAAGCATGTGGTCGAGTCAGGACAAACCACTGAGATCCTTTTTTCAGCTGCCACGGATGCAGCACCTGACGTGGCACAAATATCCAGAAATATCTCGGGAATCGCCACCAGCGAAGGGTGGGAAGCACCGCAAGAAAGCTCCTGTCTCCTGTAAAGAGATAGGTGTAGACGAAGTTAAAACAGCGAATGGGAATGCACGCTTCTGATACAAGCACAAACCTCTGATTGGCCGGGTCTTGTAACGCAGACGCTAGAAGCCTACGTGTGGCTTGGATCATTGAAGGCATCCCCCTTATAATCCTCAGGCCTGGAATCTGCGTTCCCCAGAACACACTGTCATTCCCAACATGGGAATTTACGCTGAAACCCTCTGTGCCAGCATGCACGTAGATCGAAGCCCGGTCCATGTTCCCATGGAAAAACGCCTCCCATAGGGGTCTCAAGGGGAGCGGCCCTCTGGTGAGAAACAAGAATGCGATCTTAGGAGGTCTGCTGGTGGTGGTGGGATTGTAATCAACTGTTCTGAATGGCAATGCCTGCTGCTGTGGGCTGATTTTGTTGCTGCTTTCTCCTTCGGTCGCATGAATCTTCATCTGGCTGCTTCTGAAGCTTCTTCTCCCCTCGAGCGCCTGGATTGATATCCGACTCAGCTCTGACAAACTCTGCAAGTCCACATCGTATCTCTCCTCTTTTACACCCATGTGAGTCAAAATCCTCTCCTCACCCTGGCCCAATTGAGTGCGATCCCCATCCTCCTCTCCTTGTCCCCCTTCAGAGTAACCTCGTCTTCGCACCGACGCTGGAAAATCTGTGATGGGAAGGAGCTGGTTCACAGGAGGCCTTAGCTGCATCTCCGTTTGAATAGCCCTGCTGACGAGGTAACTGTCCACGTCATCACGGAAAACGTACGCCCCGAAATACATCGTGAATGTGAGATAAAATCCAACCACCGACGTGCAGTAGATAAGGATGGAGAAGAGGGAGAAGTAATCCCGGAGGGTGCGAGACGGGGGTTGTCTGGAGGAACGGAGCTGGCCAGAAGGCCGGCGGGGTGAGCTGCTGCTGGGAGAATCTGCTTCTGATGATGCCAATGAGTCTTTCTCAAAATGTTCCTGCAGTGGCTCATCTTCAGGGGTTCGCAGTGGCTCTTCTGATAATCCCAGTGCCTCATCTGATGATTCCCGTGGGACTATCTCAGGGATGATTGAAGGGATTGCGTACTCGTTGTCGGACAACCCATCAGGAGACTGATAAGAGGCTTGTCTTGAAAATCCGTGCGTATCGTCTAGCATCTCGCCTCGCACTTGCTGCCAATGGTGCTCAGACTTCTGACCGGTAGACGGCCTTGTATTGGACACTAATTCATTCGTAGTTAGCTAAAAAAAAAAAACGTGACTAACGAAAACGGACGGCAAAATCATGAAACGTGAAGTCACGTCAGCTCTAAAGGCTATTCGTCTCAATTTCGGACGCGGAAATTCGGCCGGCTTACTAAGTCAAGTATGGACTAATTAACGAAGAAGGAGCGTGTTCTGCGGACGAACGATCACCTATCCAGAAGGTTTGTGGCTCAGGGCGTGGTCAGGTCGTGTGTCTCCTGTACGTTCTCTGCGGTCTAATTCGTTGCGTCACGGTGCAAAACGGTAAACATCAAACCTGACCACACCCTCCCCGGATAGTCCAGCCCTCTTCGCCTGCATGTTTGATCAGGTTGTACATTTCTCACATTTATGGTTCTTGTATCGTGGCTCCGGACGGTTCCACACGATGGAGAGCGGTTCTCGAGGTTTACCGTTTTGCACCGTGAATAATCGATGTTGACCGCAGTGAGCAGAAAGAACATTGTACAACCTGATCAATGGTGGTGTTCGCCAAACCCGCTTGGAAGGGAGGGGGCTCTCCAGCTCGGTCGGGATGGGCGAGGGGATCAAGAAACTCCCAAGGAAGGATCGTACAGTGTGACGTTTCTGGACGCTCCTGCAGTACGCTGTTCGCTGTCTGCTGTTCGATGTCAGCTGTTCTATTCGCTGTTGGCTGTTGTCTGTCAGCTGTTCTATTCGCTGTTGGCCGTTCGCTGTTAACTGCAACACTCTTTCTGTTATCAGCTATACACTGGATACAGTATGCCTAAATATACATGTGAAAGAACCAGCATTCGTCATTGTATACACTTGTACCTGATTTTACCGTATTTTCTAGCGAGATGAAGTCAGATATTTGCCCACATAGACATATGAGACCCATTGCAGTCATAAGCAAAGCACTTGTTATTGCATGTCCTCAGAACAACACCAGGAGGGCAAAGCAGAAATAGGCCACGATGCACATGAAGGCGATAAGCGCTCGCACATCGTCCGCTTGTGGGACAATGGCCACCAGGAGAGACGCTGCTGTTCGCGTGCACCACACTATGGCCACTGCCGCTGCCACTGCTGTGATCACTCCCCTGCAGCAAGCACGATGCAAGGCACATATGGGTAGACGAGCAAGTCAGAAATAGGTGGTGGGTTGCCTTGTGGGACTATTGCCACCAGGAAAGACGCTGCTGTTCGCGTGCACCATACTATGGCCACCGCTGCTGCCACTGCTGTTAACACCCCCCTGCAGCAAGCACGATGCAAGGCACATATGGGTAGACGAGCAAGTCAGAAATAGGTGGTGGGTTGCCTTGTGGGACTATTGCCACCAGGAAAGACGCTGCTGTTCGCGTGCACCATACTATGGCCACCGCTGCTGCCACTGCTGTTAACACCCCCCTGCAACAGCAAGCACCACAAGGCACATAGACAAGTGAGACAGAAACAGGTCGGTGGGTTGGCTTGTGGGACTATGGCCACCAGGAAAGACACTGCTGTCCGCGTGCACCACAGTATGGCCACCGCTGCTGCCAGTGCTGTTAACACTCCCAGCAACAGGTAACAGGAACCACATGGCACGTACGGTTGAGACAAAAGGGCCAGGATAAGAGAAGAGGGTCAGGAGTAGGCAGGGCAGGTCACTCGTGGGAACTATGGACACTAGTAGAGGTGCTGCAGTTCGCGTGCTCTACACTATGGCCACCGCTGCTGCCACTACTGTGATCATCCCCCCGTGATACGAACCCAAGGCACATAGAGCCAATAAGAGGGTTTGGAGTGGGCAGCTGCGTTAGCTTCTGTGGCTATTGCCGATGCTGCTATTCTCGTGCACCATACTATGGCCACCGCTGCTGCCACTGCTGTGCTCACCTCCGTGCCACAAGCACGGGAAGGCACATACGGAGCAGATAAGAGTGCTAGAAATGGGTAAGGGGTCAGGAATTGGCAGGAGATTCCTGCGGGGCCAGCTACTGTTCTCATGGTGCGCTACTAGCTCATGCGCTAGTCATTGAAGGTTCGTACTCGTGTGTCCCTACTTATCAGTAAAGGAGTCACTTTCGAGAATTCTCGGAACAGTATCTCTGAGATACTTACATCGAAGTAAGAAGAGTAGAGTTGCTGAGGAGAGAACTATGGGTAGCAGGCAGAGAAAGTGTTACTGGACAATGTGAAAATAGTCTTGATGCGCCTCAAAACTGAGGAGAGCACTATGGGCAGCAGGCTAACAAAGTGTTACCGATGCTTATGGATGATGAGTTACTGAACAATGTGCTTATACTCATATGTGTGCTGTAACATTATTGAGTATCGCAGAGCTTGATAGGGCACCATGAGCAGCAGACCACTCACGGGTAACCAACTGACCAGTTACTACGTGTTTTGAGATTGTGATGCGTCACATACCTTCGAGGGAAGAAGATGGAGACGGCCGAGTACAGCACCATGGGCAGCATCCCATAGCCGAAGATGGAGCAGCAGCGATACAGGTCCAACCCAGCCTGGGACGATCTGAGAGGGAGGAGGAGTAGGGGAGAAAGCGGGGGACGGACTCAATACATGATCTGAAGGTTGAGACGGCCGAGTAGAGCACCATGGGCAGCAGCCCATAGCCCATAGCCCATAGCCGAAGTTGGAGCAGCAGCAGTACAGATCCAGCCCTGCCTGGGACGACCTGTGGAATGGTGTCATGCATGTGAGAGGTGGATAGAGAGAGGAGGAGAGAGAGAGGAGGGAGGGAGGGGAGGGAAGGAGAGGAGGGAGGAAGAGGAGGGAGGGAGCGGAGGGAGGGAGAGGAGGGATGGAGAGGAGGGAGGGAGACGAGGGAGGGAGCGGAGGGAGGGAGAGGAGGA